TATATATATATATACTTTCGTACACGATAGGTCTTTCCTAGATATCTTGGCAAATTTCAATCTTTTACGAACATTAGAACTCACGTTATTTGGACCTTTATTTCCGAGAATTTACGGCCACTGTTAATTTTCCATGTTCTAAGTCTTGGTTGAGAATTGGAGAAAATGACGTCATTTTCTAAAAAACACCACACGGATTGAAATTATAATTAACAATTAGAACAGCAATTCGCACAAAGAATAACAAAAACTTTGCCTCGTATCTCCGTGCAATTTTCTACGTTAATTGTTATTATAATTTCAACCCGTGCAGTATTTTTGAGAAAATGGCAGGGAAATTAATTGTTGCCATAAATTTTTGGAAATAGAGGTCCAAAAACCACAAGTTCTAATGTTCGTAATAGATTGAAATTTGGCAAGATACCCAGGGAAGACCTGTTGTGTTCGAAAGAGTAAAAAAAAATGGGTATCGAGAATTTCATCACCTTAGCACTTTAAGAGAAACTGATATTTTTACCTGTGCCAAAAATATCATCTACCGAAGACTTTATTTCCGTTATTAGTTCAGTTGCAAGGCTCCTAGTCCAGGAACGTACTTCCAAATCAATATCGCGCTGTTACAGATTTCAACACCACTCTCAAATTAATTTAAACTAGTGGTAATCAGAGATTAGTGAAGTGCGTTCGATACCTTGGGGGAGGAAGGGGGTACTCTAGCAATTTGTCGATAGGGTGTGTTACTAGGAACATGACATTTTTGAGTTATAGCAGCGGATATTCAGTTAGTATTTGGACATCCGATTGTAGGCTGAGTACCAGAAATATCTTCTCTATTAATATATCATACTAAATAAAATTTCACACTATATTTAATAAAAAAAAAAAAAAAAAAATATCAGAAACTCAATTCTTTTTATATCAAGGTCAGCGACTGTTTTGCCAGATCCTGATGCCTATACCTAAAGCAGACTGCTGGAAAAGTATACTCTTGACAGCAGCGCATACTAAAGCCCATTTATGTCATTCCGACCCCTTGCCAGGGTTTTCCAAGTTGTATATTCTTCAGGGTATTGTTTAACTCTTGTGTCCTTTATTGGCATCACATCTCACACCACTCTAGCCGGCGCATCGTTTAGTAAGGTTAAATATGTTTCTGGTACTGTGTATAACAACAGAAAAGAATAACAGTACATGAAACTTTCTTTCCAAACATGAACGTTTTTCACTTAAGTTTACATGCAAGCTTACACCCGGTAGCACTTCATGTAAGACCAAACTATTATTCAAGGCGAGGTATCACATTAAACCGAGGCTATGTGTGCCACAAAGCCAGTCCAAAATGGCGTCCAAACCCTGAAATCTCTGGTATCGCGGAAAATCGCGGGACATAGACCTGCGGGAATGACCCGATTAGTATGCGTTTTCTTAACGTCGAACGCAATAAATTTGTCGGTCTGTTCTAATTCTCTTTGATTATTTGAATTTGTAACATTAGGTAGCAGAAATGCTACTCTGTCTAAATTGGAGAGTAAATGAAGTTTGCATGCTTGTCTGTCTGTCTGTCTGTATGTATGCGTGTATGCGTGTATGCGTGTATGTATGTATGTTTCTTTGTATGCACATAACATTGTCATTGTGACACTGTTAGGGATATATATCCTGTTCGCAAGAATTTTTTTTTTTGACAATTCCTTTGTTAGTATCTAAATCGGATTTATGCCTCTCTCTACACACAGGGCGTCCTGAGAGTGCGGAAGCGAGTCACTTTGATGGGGGTAACTGTCACTGCCATATTTGGAATCTGTTGGGCGACTGACGTAATTGCGCACAACTTAGACTACTTCACATCTGTCAGTGTCAGTGAACTCGCATACGCTGTTATTCATATGCTAGTACTGTTCAGTTCCGCTGTCAACCCATTTGTGTACGCTCTGGTTAACAAAACCTTCCGACAGAAGCTAAAGGGAATGATATGCCGTCAGTGTACCGGCTCCACGGGATCCACACGAATTCGAGTTTTCCCACAAAAGTTAACCTCCACGGCAGGGACATCATCTTTGGAGTGATCAAAAAATCAAAAACATTTCTTCTTTTAATGCTGCTTTTATTTTATCTCTTTCTCTGAGCAGCAAGAGAAGGAAATCTCTCACAGGGTATGCAACTTTACACGAGTATTACCTTTCATAGGTCCGGCAGGAAGGTTATTGCAATTCTTCAATTTAGCGCCAGGTGGGACTATTTACATTTGGTAGTTTAAGGGAGCTCGCTTATTGGAAGAGGGGGCGTTTATTTGTTTTTCATAAATATCACAATGTGCCACAGTACTTTAAAGAAAAACAGAAATTTTAACTCAAGGACTTTGATAATGTTCAATATTGCGTTCAGAGTTTCATTCATAGTTCATTAATCTAATAGCTCTATTCAATGTTAATGCCTTGAATGTCACTGTCGCTTTGGGTGCACTTAGCTTCTATAAAAAGGCTGCTTAATGAATTTGGAATAGGGGGAAGTGCCTATTAGGTAGTTATTATAGCATATACTATCTACGGGTGTGTACATTACAAACTGGCAACGCAACCACAGGCGGCCCAAGCTCTCAATGTTATCCTTTTTTTTCCCCTTTTTATGC